AACAATAAGGAGTCATTTGCATTTATTGCATAAGAGAATAACATGGTCAGAGCTGTTTCTAAGAAAAACCACTTTGGCTCCTGTAGGACAGATTGGAGAAATGAAAGACTTAAGGCAGAGAGGCCATTCAAATAACACTGGAGAGAGGTGATGAGGGCCTAAACCAAGGTAGTAGTCATGTAAATAGTAAGAAAGGGTCACACGTGAGAGATGTGTAGAAGTGGAAGTGACTGGATTTGTTAATTGATTGGATATAGAGTGTAAAGGAAAGTAAGGGATCAAGAATACTGATATGTCAAGCTTGGGAGACTGGAAGGTGTCCTTTGTAGAAATATGGGAAATCAGAAGAGGCATATATTTTGAGATGGGGGGGGAGAGAAGATAAGCTCTGCTTTGGACTTTTTTTGTTAAACATTTAAATTCATTATTTATTTAATTTTAAATTTTGAGTTCCAGATTCCCTCTGTCCCTCCTACCTTGATCCCCTGCTGCTGCAAACACTAGCAGTCCTCTTTGCTTTGGAATTAGGACCAGGGTTCCTGCTCCCTTGTGACTGACCACCAGTGCTCCTCTCCACCCTGTAACTGCTACTCAGAACTGTGTATGGGGAATAGAGCTTCTAATCAGCACCAGTTGTATGCAATGCCAACTCTCTTTCTTTGATCTCTTTAGTATATAAACCTTGTAGCAGTATTACTGGGTCAAAAGGTATGCACAATTTAATAACTTTTGGGGTATAGGTCCAAATTGCTTTCCAGATGGTTGGACTAGTTCATAGTTCTACCAATAGTACATTAGTGTACCTGTTTTCCCACATCCTCTCTAGCAGATGAACTCTTGGGGCATGCCTGCTTAGAAGCCAACTGCACCTCAGGCAGGAAAGTGAGAGCCTGCTGTCCCCTACTGGCCATTCTAATACTTCTCTATTTCTTCATTGTCATCTATTCCTTCTTCAACACACCCCCTGTTCTGGTTAATTAATGGAGCACTAGGGCCATCCATAGGTAATTTCTTACTCTTACCACATGAGCATCCCATCTTCTCTTTCTGTCATTCAGTTCTGTAATGGTATTCCTTACTCCTGTTCTTCTTTGGTGCTCCTCATTGGTTATGTATAGCAGCCTGTTCACCTCCATAAGATACTTTTCTATTGCCACCTGTATGATGCAAAGTGGATAACATGATAATTCATATTAGTTATTTCATACTGGATGGAAACCAAGTATGCAGGATTTTTATGTATTTCATATTGACTTAAATACAAAGTACTTTGCTGTGGGGAAGGGGGCCAATAACTGGGGAGGAGTCTGGAAAGAACTTGTATGAGAGCTGGAAATTGAGCTAAGGCTGAAAGAAGTAAGGGATTTTAGCAATAATTATGATAATAATAGCTAGAATTCACATGGAGGATTCAGGGTGGCATGGTGCTTTATATTATCTGATAATCCTGTGAGGATAGTGCCATTATTATCCTAATTTTGCAGATGAAGTAACTGAGGTTGAAAGACTTGCCCAGGGTCACACAGTTAGTAAGTGTCTGAGGTAAGATTTGAACTAAGTCTGTGTGACTCAAAGTCCAATGCTCTAACCAGTGCCCCAGCAAAGTGCTTTAAGAGGTAAAAGTGAGGAGAGACCATGCTACAGGCATGGGAAACAGCCTGTGTAAATGCATGGAAATGAGAGATTTAGGAGGAACAGCAAAGATGTGAGTTTGACTAGAATGTAGAATGTTTGAGGGTGGTAAATGTGAAATTGGTACAGATTTAGAGGTTGGAGGCCAATTATGAAGGCCTTTAAGTAGTCTAGAAAGGTCTTATAGATCAGAGTTGGATGGATACAGGTTTGTTCAACTAATGAATCTGCCTTATGCAATTGCAATGTTTATGGTTTAGAGAATGGCTGCTATGAGTCTTTTAAGACTAACCTAAGAGAATGAACTACTATGAATACTTTTACTTATGTTACATAATAATTATTTAATTAAAAAAACCATTTTATTAAAAATAGAGAGTCTGGCAAAGTCCATCATAATCAAATATAATGTCTGATTGAGCAATGACCTGTGGGCCTATGGAAATGAAAGAGTATTATGTTGCCAATAGTCTTTATTAACACAATGCTTACAGTTTTTTAGCTGTACAATAGCTATTTTAAGCAGACAGTTTTCATGACTTGCTCATCATCACATAGCTAGGGACTGGGCCAAGAGATGAATCTGAATTTTCTGTTGCCAGCTCATTATTTCTTCCTTTCCACTCTCACCTGCCATAGCTGTCTCCTGATAGAAATCTTTATCTGCACTTCAAGACTTGTTTTGAAGGAAGTTATCTCAGTGATCATTTGGAGGTGGGACTGAGAATGCTAAAAGGCACTGTGGGATTACAATGATATGAAATATTTTTCAGGATGTCACTAAGAGAGGGCTCCTGATAATTACCACTTCCCTTCCCCAACTCTACTTTTACTGTGCATTCCTCAGAACATATAGAATTTATAGCATTTGAATATCATAGACTTGAACCTGGAAGGGACCTTAGAGACCATCTAGTCCAACTCAATAATGTGACAGATGGGGAAAATGAGTCTGAGAGGTTAAGTGACTTGACCAAGGTCAAATTACATGGTAGGTAGCAAGGATAGGATTTGCACATGTATTCTCTGATGTCAGACGAAGTTTTTTGTCCATTGTATCATGTGACCTCATCACATCATCATTTTAGGCTACCAATCTATTTGTATGTTCTTTCATAATCCTTTTAAAATCTTTGTAAGATATATGTTCTACCCTCCCCTGCCCCCTAGACAATTAAACTTCCTGTGAAGAGAAAATAGCATGATGATTCCTGTTGAATGACATTTTGATTTTTGTACCTGTTATTACTGTAATTTTGTGATACCATGTAAGCCAGTCTTAAAATTAACAACTCTTGGGAGAAAAGGAGAATCAGACAATGTCATCTCCATTACTTGGTGTCAGTGAAGTAGGCAAAACAAATGGCACTTAGGAATACCTTAATATCTGACCTTGGTGGGAAGAATATGAAGGGATACCATTAAAAAACAAAACAAAACAAAAGAAGTAAGCATTGGTTGTGCTACTAGTAGAGAGCAATCACACTCTGGCCCTCTCCAGATGCATCACCATTGGCTTAGAAATTCCAGGCTTCAATACTTCTTCTACAAGAACAGGTTGTATCTACCCCAGGAAGCCATACTAATCTAGTGTTGGATTCAGATGATTTGGGACTCTTCATCTTTTATATAGCCTCAGTTCTGTGACTTTAAAGTTTGTTTTATTTTATGATTTCCACCTAAGTTACTAGCCAAGACCTTTAAAAAAAATTAAAAGGCTTTATTCAGGTACGCTGTGGGAAGGAATTGACTATGTCAGTCAGTCAACAAGCAATCTATGAAGTTCTTACTATATGACAGGTATTGTGCTAAGCACTGAGAATAGAAAGAAAGGCAGAGAAGCAGGATTTCTGTCCTTAAAGAGCTCCAATGAGAGAGACAACATGAAAAATAAATATATTCATTCAAAATATATCCAACATAAATGGAAGGCAATCCCAGAGGGAGAGCACTAGCAGGGGTACATTGAGAGTGAGAAGGAGAAGACTGGGAAAAGCCTCTTGCAGAAGGTGGGGTTTGGAACAAATCTTGAAGGAGGCCAGGGAAAGCAACAGGCAGAGGTGAAGATGAACAGCAGTGACATGCTTAGTCAAATTGGGCATGGTGGATTACTAACCCTGGGAGGGACCATTAACAATGTTGGTTAAAAGAATCATCATCCAAAGAGATCTTAGCACCTTGGAACACAAGTCCAAGAAATATGAAGGGAATATAAAGCCAACAGTTGGATTCAAAACATCAATTATAAAAGTTCAGAGAGAAAGACAATTCATGGGGGAAAATCCTGGTGGTATTTTATTTTTATGACTCAGTAGACAGCAAGTTTTCATGTCCATTTCTATGTTTGGAGATATCAGATAATCAGTGAATTTTAGAGTTGGAAGAGACATCTGGATCAACTAGTCCAATTCATGCCACCTAAGAAAGGCCTAATTTAATATACACAACAAGTGGTCATCCAGTCATTTGTGTGATGATCTCCAGTTAGAAGTAAACCATTATTTTCTGAGGCAGTCCATTTGACTTTTAAATAACTCTAATTGTTGCTGACAATGAACCTAAATCTGCTTATTTTCACTGTCTGTCCATTTCTATTTATTCTGCCTTTTGGAGCCAAACAAAGTTTAATCCCTCTCCCACCTTACAAACTTGAGCGCAGCTGTCATGTCTCCCCTGACCAAGGGGATGGACTAGATGGCCCTTTCTGAGGTCCCTTTCACTTTTATTTTTTTGACCCTATGAGCTGTCTCTCCTCCTGGCTACACATCACTAGTTCCTTCATCCAATGTGATATGAATTTATTACCCTTCACAGTCATGGTTGCCCCTCTCTGGATATTCTCCTTATTATTGTACTTCCTAAGCTAGGGAATCCAGAATTGAACATAATATTACAGATATGGTCTACCTAGAACCTACCTAGAATTCTCTCTTGGTATCAGGAGAATTTGAAGTGGTGGTGGAATCCAACCAATGTCAAACAAAGACTCTTGGCCTCAGTAGGCAGAAAAGGCCTAGCTTTCAAGCACCTCTGGAATGTATGCCATCAAAATTAGTAGAGAAGAGCAAAGACATCCTGGAGTAGAATAGGGTCTGTGCTCTCATGCCTTCTTTCTTCTTTCTTTATAATCTTGTCTTCCTTTTCCTATTAATCTTCCCTACACTGCCTCATGTGATGCTTTGCACACAGGGTGATCAAACATGGTCAACTGACCAAATGGGGAGACAGGGATGACAGGGGATAGTAATATAATGCCTTTGAAGTCACATAGTAAATGGGCTGGGAGGGCAAGCGGATATTTTGTTCCCTCTTTCTCATTTTCTTTCTCCTCTTTATTAACCCTCTTATAGGAGAGATAGCTCACTCTGATGGGAACTTTCCAACTGTTGCTGCTGGGGCTTTCAGTGACTATGTTCCTGGTCACTGAAGGGGTTCCCCCTGGTTTCACTAGAGCTCAATGGTTCAATGAACAGCATGTGCAATACCCAAAGACCATAGCCTCCAACGACAATATATATTGCAACAATGAGATGAGACGAATCAACAACCATACCAGTCGGTGTAAATCCTTCAACACCTTCCTGAACTACTTGGGTCCCGCTGTCATCAAGGTTTGTTTGGAGCCCAACATCAGCTGTATGAATCCAGCGATGCAGAACTGCCATAATAGTACAACAGATGTTCCCCTCACCAATTGTCAATTGACCAGTGGTCGTTATCCCAACTGCAGCTACCGTGGCACTTCTAAACAGGCATACTTTGTTGTTGCCTGTGATCCTCCTGTGCCAGCTGACCATAGCAGAAGTAAATTGCTTCCTGTGCATTTGGACAGCACCACTTCGCAGCCAGACCCCATACTTCTGTCTCTTTGATTTCTAATCTCCTACTGTTTTGCCCTTTTGCTTCAAGATGCATTATGGAAATCTACTCTCTTGCTTTTTTTTTCCTGCACAAATCCCTGTAATCCTATCTTCCCCATGAATTTATCAGGAATTCTCCTTGAAAAAGGTTTTTATGGGGCCAAGCTTACCTTTCTGCATGGCTTTATCAGGCCATGAGACTCTCCTATTACTCTTTAACCTGATGCTTAAAGATGAAATTGACCTCCAGTAGTCTCTACCCTAGCAATGATGTGGAATGGAGTAGCCTATCTCTCCCATTCCTCTTCACCTTTCCTATCTTACTTATACCTTAGATTCAAGATAGATTCAAGTAGAGGGAAAAGGAAGAGGTAGATAGATAAGTTTTTATTCTAGTTTCTTGCCATCTTTTCACTATGCTGCTTACACTCCTTCATCCTCCAACAATAACTTTTTTCACCTCTGGGTATTCTGACTCTGAGTACCACTTGGCCCCCTCCCCCCCTTTCTTGCATTATGGTTTTCTCTCTTTAAAATGGAAGCTCTTTGAGGGCAAGGATTATCTTTCTTGCTTATATTTTTATCCTGAGTGACTGGCACCTAGTAATTGCTCAATAATTGCTTTTCTAAAACCTGGAAAGACTTACATGAACTGATGTGGAGTAAAGCAAAGAGAACAAAAACATTGTACGCAGTAACAGCAATATTGTATGATGAGCAACAGTGAATAACAGCTATTCTCAGCAACACAATGATCCAAGTCAATCCCAAAGGACTTGATGAAAAATACTATTCACCACCATGGAAAGAACTGATAGCATCTGAATATAGACTGAAGCATACTATTTTTCCCTTTCCTTCCTTAAGTTTTCTTCCACAAAATGACTAACATGAAAACATGTTTTACTTGATTACACATCTATAATTTAGATCAGAGTACTTACTCTCTCAGAGAGAGGGGAGAGGAAGGAAGGTTAGAATCTGGAACTCAAAACTTAAAATGAATGTTAAAATTATTTTTACATCTAATTTGGGAAAAATAAAATATTTTACAAATTGCTTTTCTAGCTATCTACTTATCTATCTATCTATCTATAATCTATCAATCTATGTAGAATCTATCTAGCTCTCTAATCCTGAGAATGGAAAAAATTAGTGTTGAGGAGGGAATTTATAATTTATAATTTTCATACTAATCAATATGATATGTGTAATGAATATACTAATAATTTAGTTTTCTCAAGAGCTGCCTCTCTAGCTTGGGAGACAGAGCTCACAATGCAGCTTAAACTGATTAATCAAAACTTCACAACACTCACAATTGCTGGATCATAAGTGAAGAGAATCAAATATTGTAGAACCTGTTCCCATCACAGACGTCTGGTTCTGTACTCTAGGAGAGGTAGTCATGACCCCCAAAGACTTGATTCCAGAATTGTTATATTGTGGGACTTGTAGGTTTCTCGTGGGAAACCACTAAATGGTTGTAATCCATCTCCCCCCTCCCTTCCATACTTGTGATTTAAGTGTATAACCTGTGCTTTCACTTCAGCTAAGAGAACATTCCTCACTCTGAAATTGCTTGATTAAACAACTTGATTACTTGTACTCCTGTCTCTAGGTCTACTTTGTGCTGCAGCTCCAAGCATTCTCAGGTTAGAGACTGGCTCAGTAGAAATACTGTTAACAGTGTCTTTCCTGAATAATATAGCATAAGTGAAGGTGAGAAAGAGGCTTATCCTCTACAAGCTGTACTTCAAGAGCAGGACTAAGCCACGTGTGTTGTGCTGGTTTCAGTAAAGGCCTTTTTGCATACAACTGTGGGGAATCTTCTGTTACAAGCAAAGGGATGATGTGACCTACTATTTCATTAGCATTGGGAACTAGCTCCAGGTTGTGGGAACTCCCTCTTCCAATGAAGAAACTCCCTCTACCTCGCCTTCTCTGCAATTTATAGGCTTAGAGTTGCCTAGATCACTGAGAAGTGACTTGCCCAGGGTCACATAGTCATTGTGTGTCAGAGATGGAACTCTTCCTAGTTTCCACACTAGTTTTCTATCCATTGTGCCAGGTTGCTTCTTTTGTTACTAATAGTTGCAAAAAGTTCTGAAAGAGAAAAGAAGCTGGGGAATTGGTGCTATAGTAAGGAGGAAAGGGGCCTGGATAAAGTGGGAGTCAGGGATAAGGAGCAAGAAATAGATAATGTCTCTTTCCTATTAGTTGGGGGTTTCCCCAAAAGGAGGTTGAAGCCAAGGTGAGAGAAATTGGTGACAAACATTATGGCTCCAGAATCCAGACAACATGGCATCATGGAAGGGCTACTTCTTAGATGGGAGGGTTAATTGAGAGGAGTAAATGACTCCATGATTTGGAGACAAAATGTTTAGAAAACTGAGACCAATCCAGAAATATGCTAATATAATACCTTAGTTGGAAAATTGAGAAAGGTTGCTTTCATCAAGCAATCACTCAGCCAGTAAGTACTTACTAAGAACCTATGTGCCAGATGTTATGCTAGGTGCTAGGAACACAATTGCAAAAGTGCAATCTTGTAGTGTAATTGGGGAAGGCAGCAAGTTCATCTATAGATATATTTTGAGTGTGACTGCAAAGAAAAGAGATCACTCTATTTTTCCCTTTCTTGACCTCACAAATAACATTTTAGAATAAGCCTCCCATTCAAGTGTAAATGTATTTTATCTTCTTTTGTCCTAGTTTTTGTGAAAAGCCAATCAAAAGACAAAAGTAGCTTACTCTGTCTCTGACTTTGAGGCTAATGGCATACTAAACTGAGAGTAGAAAGTCACAACCAACTGCCTCCAAGACCACTACTGTGACCCAGCATGACTAAATGTTTTCTGTATACTAAGTAACTGTGGGAAATGCCTTGTATTCAGAAGCACATGTGTCCTATAGAGATACTTTTCCTCTATGTATCAATGAATGATTTTCCCTGGGAAGGCTTCTAACAAAGTACAGAAAAAACTTTTCTACTTTGTATTCCTAATGGAAAGAAAAACAGTGTAGTGAAGCTGTCCTCCACACAAGACATGGGTGTTATGTGGTGTGATTTGAAAGGAGGCAGACATCTCTAAACCCTTCCACCTCACCCCCATGTCCTTAGCTTTTTCCAAGGTAGACTTTATTTCCTTTTAGGAAGCAAAGCAAGAAGTTTGGGCCAGATGCTTGACCACTCTGCTCTCCTTCAGAAAGTATGCATATTGGGCTAGAATTATCTATCTGCTCCTTCATGGAGTAGAGGTCTAGGGGATATGATTTTCAGGTTCATTCTAAACTTCTGTTCACCATTTAACTGGGAAAGGAAGACCCAAGCTTTATATACAAGACTTTACTTCCTTCCTCCAAATATCATAATGAACACACATAGCAAGTAGCAAAGAAAACCATTTATCTAAGTGCATTGCTAAATAGAAATCAAAATATGCAAAGGAGACTCTAAACTAGACAATCAAAGTGATGGTGCTTTCTCATTGGGAATAAGGTAAGTCAGTTTAATCAAAAGAGAGTCCCAGATTTTATCTTAACAAAAACTTCCTAGTCTCTAGTGTAGCAAGTATGTTATAGGGATCTGATGAAAACTGCTAGTTACTCTTATGTTAGTTTCTTTCCAGAGTCTTATTCTGCCTTCAGGAACCTGAAGTTGGATTAGCACCAACATTTTCTCTCAAAGCTGAAAACCAAAGGCACCAGAAGTAACTGCCAAGCCTGAAGAAATGGAAGAGAAATCTGAAGAGAGTCAAGAGCTGATGCAGTTGGTTTCTGGACACCAGAAAGAAAAGGCCCTAGACTTTTCCACATGGCCAAATCTCTCATTGTCTTACCTCCCTGTGGCCCCCAACCACTTCCCACCCTTAATCCTAGCTAGGCTCCATTCTCCCTTGACCATTTAGTCCAGGTCCCTGGAGTTCTATTACCTCATAGACTCCTTGGCAGCTCCTAGATCCCTCCCATAGTCTTTCTGTGTGTAAGGTCCATCTTGTCTTCATTAAGATGCTCAGATTTTTAAAATCTTGCTGATAGCTTACTAATGTTCAGACTCCTCAAGAGTCTGCCCAATATGATGGATGTTCTAACAAACCTTGTCTTTGGCTGAAAGAAGGCTTGGGTTGAATTCTTGCAGGCAGGACCTGTGTGTTGTGATTTTGGGGTCCCAGAACCCCTAAATCCCTAAACCTCAACAGCCAGAAGAGAATGAAAAGAGTGAAGAGACTTGGAGAGACGAGAGCCCTTCTTTTTCCTGGTCTCTTTTTCCTAATTCTGCCTCATTCCTCATGCAGGTGCAAGGCATTGATTTCCACCAGTAAGGCAAGCATCCCATACCATTGGGCTTTAGGACTGGTGTGACATTTCTCCCCTGATTTGAAACTCTTTGCAGTTCCTTGCAAAGGTTATCTGGGAGAATTCCAATCATAAAGATTTTGGAATATTGTCTCATTGTTATCATTTTTAAATGGAATTTCCATTTTTATAATTTGTTCTTTGACTCAAAATTATTTGGGATTAAGTTATTTATTCTCTAGCAGCTTCAAAAAAATTTTTCCAGTGACCCTTCAATATAATTTTAATTATACTGTGATAACAAGGATATATATATATATATATATATATATTATATAGTAGCTCTATTTTTATAACTTATTTATGAGTTTTTTAATACCCTGAGACATAATCAATGTTTATAAAAGTGCCATGCACAATGCATTAAGTGCTTATCTGTTAAGTATTAAAATAAATTCATTGTCTCAGCTAACTTTCAGCAAAATATAATTTCCCTCTTCTTTTAATTAAGTCTATTTTTTGTTTTGCCTTGTCTGAAATTATAATTGCTAACCGTATATGTGTGTGTGTGTGTGTGTGTGTGTGTGTGTGACCAGCTGAGGCATAATGGATTTTATTCTAATCCCTCATTTTAACTCTGTAAGTCTTTGTTTCAAATGTGTTTCTTATAAACAATATATTGTTGGATTTTGCTTTCCAATATATTCCTCCAA